ATATTCACAAATTCGCTTGTGTGAAGCAGAACTAGTCACTTCCTCTCTCAGGGCTTCAGCTTCCTCTTCAGCTGGGCCAGACAGTTGTAAAGGCCCACCCCACGATCGCGGTCAGAAACTCAGGCCTGTGTTCGTCCAAGCCCCTCGCTGCGGTCCGGTCCGTTCCGTTCCCGCGGGAGGGCAGCCCCTCCCCCAGCCCTAGACCTCCTAGGAGCTCCCTGTTCCAAGACATTCCCCGCTGAATTCTGTGACCAGACACAGCCAAGAGCCCCTCACAGGCCCAGGGCCCTGCACGCGGCCAGCAGTTCTCAGCCCCAGCGTCCTCCCAGGCTAGGCTAGAGGTACAGCGCTGGCTCTGCCGAGAACCAAGGAAGCCCGAGAAGTGCAGGTAGACTCCAGAATTTTCTCCAACAAGCCTGCAGGCCCACTCCATTTCTGGCTGGAAGCTCTCCTGAAACTGGATCCATCCATGTTGCTCTGGATCCATCGGCTGGCTGCCGGCAAAGGGAAGGGGGGGCAGGGGGCTTCCCTTTTCCCCTGGGGCCCTTTCACTTCTACGCTTTTTTACTTTGTCCCTCTCCTCCCCAACTCACTTCCTCAGCTCAGTCCCCTCATTCGCCTTCCACAACTTCTTTCCTTTTCTTCCCACCTCTTCCCGACTACTTTCCCAGCCTCCAGGCCCCACCCGGACTCTATTTCTGACACCCCAGATCAGCAACGCCATTCCTTTGGCTGGGAAAGCAGGGCCCAGGTCTCCACGTTGTTGAGGTTCCCTCGCCATTTCCACGCCAGGGCCCTGGTCATCGACCTCTTGTCCTCTCCTTTCTCCCTGTGGGCCCTTCTTTGCCCTTCTCCGTCCACATCCTTAAGAACTCCCCGCCCCTATCTTGGCTGTGGTTGGCAGGGTATAGTCTGCTAGCGCCGTAACAAAGCACCACAGGCTGGGTAGCTCCAAGAACAGAAATTTATTTTCTTACAATTCTGGAGGCTGGACATCCAAGATCTTGGTGTCAGCAGGGCTGGTTTCTTCTGAGGCGTGTCTCCTTAGCTTGGAGGTGGCCATTCTCCCTCTAAACCTCCTCCACCATGTCTTCCTGTGGTCTTTCCTCTGAGTCCTAATCTCCCCTTTGTATAAGGCACCGGTTGTATTGGATTAGGGCCCGCCCCAGTGAGCTCAGTTTAGTTACCTCTTTAAAGACCCTATCTCCAAGCACAGTGATCTTCTGTGATACTAAGGGTTAGGACTTCAGCACATGAATTTGGGGGAGATGCAGCCCAGCCCCTAACACGGGAGTGATGGCAGTGGTGGCAGAGGGGCCACAGCCTGGTCTCTGGGCAGATTTTCTTGGGCTGGACACCTTCTCCCAGGGGAAGCGCGCAGAAGGCGGGCCCCCTGCAGGCCAGAGGGGATGGTCGGCAGGACCTTCTGCGGTTCTGTCCACTCGGCACCCCAATCTCAATGCTCCCTCAGAGTCACAGGCACCTGGGCTAAAGGAAATCAGAAGGGGATAGCCCTAAAAGAAACCAAGCATCAGGTAAACTGGAAGTTTAATAAAAATGAAACAAATTACAACACAGTGGTCTGGCAACGGTCTGATATGTTGGTCGGCTTGACGTCCCGACTCCTGTGGGTTCTGGGAGGTCACAGGACTGGTCCCTCACACGCAAGATTCACTTTACTCACTCGTCCTGCTCCCACGGCGGGGCGGGGGGAGGCCTCTGTCTTCCTGGTGTGATTTGTGACCAGGCTGGTTCTGAACTCCTCACCCTGTGAGGAAAGCTGCCAGAGCCAGACTTTCACCCTGCGATGAAGATGATGCTCATCTTCGCTGCATTCCTCAGTGCACGCCCCACCCAGGTTCCGAGGGTGGCAGGGAGATGACAGCCTGTTTCGTGGAGAGTTAAGAACTTGGGGGACTCTGGCGCCTCCTCCACGGCAGATAGCCACAGCTCCCAGGGCCTCCTGGCTCCCTCGCAAATTCCTCCGAACTCCGAGGGCCCATCTCCCCTGCAGAGTGCTCAGGGTGCAGAACACACTGGGTGCCGGTGACGAGCTGGGCTGCCAGTCTGCACAGAAGGGAGCCCCGCTGGGCGTGGACCTCCCCGGCGGCCACGGCAAGCCGGGCCAGTTAGGAGGTGCTGCTCCTCCGCCGGGGGTGGAGGGCTTTCCTCTTGGCGATGTCCTCCTCAGTGTCGCTCTCACAATTCCTCTGCGGAGGGAAAAAGAGAGGGGTCCAGGACAGGGGTCATGAGATGCTAGGGATGGGGCTATGCTGGGTGACCGGGGTTGACACCTGGGCAGGGGCCTACAAGCCAGGGAGGCAGGTGTCGAAGGGAAGCCTGCTGCTGCATCCAGACGACAGTGGTGGGGGCAGGGGAGCCCCTGAAATGAGGCCAGACTGGCTGCCTAAAAGCAGGTAGGGTGTCTAAGGGAAACCAGGCATCAGGAGAGGCAGAACTGTCATGGTGAAGATTATGTCTGGTGCCCTTTGTGGCTGCCACATAATCAAGACCGCAGAGCTAGGTGGTCTGTGGGCTGACAGGTCTCCTGAGCTCGGCCCAGAGAGAAGGGGAGGGGCGAGCCACAGGTTCCTCTCCACACCCCTTCTTCTCTGATGGCCTGCGCTGCATCTTTAGCAAGGCTTGCTGTGCAGTTTTTTCAGGGAAACGACTTCTGAGCTCCAGTTTTAGGAAAGAGGGAGAGATTATAAAGTGCAGTCTGTCAGCTCCTACTTGGCTAAACCAGAGCTCAGGCAGCCATCCATGTCTTTTCATTCAGGTCACACGGATCTAATTTAATTGCTAAAATTATTAAAAGATATACTAATCCAGAAAGACTTAAATGAGTCATAAAAAAAATCTGTTCTATCCTGGGCAACACAGCAAGACCCTGTCTTTACAAGAAATAAAAAAATTAGCCAGGCATGTGCCTGTAGTCCCAGGTACTTGGGAGGCTGAGGTGGGAGGATCGCTTGAGCCCAGGAGTTCGAGGCTGCAGCAAGATATGATCATGCCACTTGCTCCAGCCTGGGTGACAGAACAGTTCTCTCTCTCTCTCTTACTCTCTATCTCTCTCTCTCTCTCTCTCACACACACACACACACAAATCTGCTGTCAGATGTTCAATCCAATGCTTCCTAAACAAAAGGACCTAGCATTACTCTTTTTTTTCTTTTTTAAAGGAAAGTCCCTTTGGGAAAACCGTATAACAGATGTCTGAGACCCAGTCCTTTTCTGCTTCTAGAGCTGATGGTGCTTGCTGAATGTTTGAGTAAACAGAGGACTATTTAAAAAATGTTTGCTCAAGGACAACAGTTAGGAAAGAAATTCTTTTCAGTTACTCTCTGGCCCTCTCTCCCCACTGCCTACATTCTGTCAGGGCAACCGGGCCGGGGGCTCAGCCCGACAGCCGTACCCACTGCCTGCCACTCGCTCTTCCAGGGCCTCCTCTCTTTCTCCCGGCCGGAGCCAGCTGGAAATCCAAGGTCAAGATCAACTTTAGCCAAATACATCCCAGACTGAGCCCGGCTATAACAATAAAAATAACTCAAGCTCTGCTGAATGGCAACTTTCAGCATGAGTCAGAGCCACACAGTAAAAAAAGTAGGCTGGGCAAAGTCCGCCGGTCAAGATCAGGGATTCTCAGAGGGAGGGAGGTCCAGTCCCTTTTACAGCAGATGAAGAAAGTGGCCAGAGAAGGCGCAGGGCGTGGCCAAAGCAGCGTAGTTGTCTCAGGCCTCTGGAGCCATAAATCCCCAAGTCCTGGCAAGAGCAAGAATAAATAAGAGCCCAAGCTGAGACCCCAGGCTATGTAGGGGGCGTGGGGAGCATAGCACTGTGCACCCTGAGGTGGCGCAGGACTGACTGTCCGTCCAGCTCAGCAGCTGCCTTCCAGCCCCTTCCTGAGCAGGGAGTCACCTTCTGTCCCAACCAGTGCCAGCCCAGGCGCTCCTGGGCCCACATCACACACCCTGAGCAGGGGGAGGGGCTGTCCAGGGAATCCCTGCCAACTGAAATACTAACACTGGCACTGCATTTTAAAGTTTACAAGAGGATTTTATGAGACAACAATAATTGCTAATACTTATTGAGCACTGACACACCAGGCTTTAAGAATACGTCGTCATTTAATCCTCAGGAACTATTACTAACCCTAATTTTACGAATGATAAAATTTTAGCACAGAGAGGTTAAGTAATTTCCTCAAGGTCACACAGCTAGCAGGTGGCAGATTTGAATTTTGGCAGTCTGGCTCCACAGGCCACACTCTTCACAAGTACATTCTGTTCTATGTTTCCCATTGTAAATGGGTGTAAAACTGCAACAAAGTAATCAAATGTAAGAAAGCATCTAAATATTATTATTATTTATAGTGGTCATCAAAAGCAAAACAGAAATGGAAAAATTGAAATAAGCATGTAAAGCTACCATTCTAAAGCCGATTTTTGGGTTGGTCAGAAATAAATTTTGGGTTGTCTATGGCATTCATTCTCCAGAGTCCTCAGGCAGAGGCTGGAGGGGTGGGGTGGGGTGGAGTGGCAGCAGCAGTCCCTCTGAAGTCCCACCTGGAAAGGGCTCAAGATCCACCAGAGCCCCTCCTGGCACCACCCAGAGGTGCCCCGAACACACGTGCCTCTGATGATCACAACTCAGCCCTCAGGGAAGAGGGCAGGGCCAGCCGAGCTGGCTGGAAAGAGCTGACAGCCACCTGCCTCGGGGGAGGAGGGAGCTCTCCCATCGCTGAGCTCCAGGCCACCCTGGAATTCTGCCCAGGAGGTGGGCACTGCCTTTACCTACCAAGTCGTTATCTGGCCTCAGGTGCACCTTCTTCATCAGCGAGCGGGTGAGGTGGTTGCACAGGGACACGATGCTGAAGGAGAGCTGAGGGAGGCAGAGAAAAGGAACTCCAGGTGACAACCTGCACCGAGACCCAGGAGATGGCCAGGATCCCGCCTGTGCCCCCTGCCCCCCACCGCAAACCTGGACACACCTTCCACCGCCTGCGCACATACTGCCTCTTGAAGTTCTCCAGGTTGACCACGGACTCCCTGCGCACCATGGCTTGCTGGTTGTCCACCGGCTGGGAGACAAAGCAGAGCATGGTGGCTGATGCTGGGTGGCTTCGGACAGCAGCCACCGCCCTCCCCACAGAACCCCCAGCCACACACCCACGGTCCTCGGCCTGGTCCTGACACCTCCCCACCAGGCAGGGCATGCAGTGGGAGTGCCACAGTGAGGGCGACAGCTACAGATGCCTCAGCTGTTTGGGAGATGCCCCTGGTGCCTGAGCTATTGTCACCACAGCCAGACACACACAGAGCTCGGCTGGAGGCACGGCTTGGGTCACCAATCACTTTGGGGAGAGGGTCATTTTACAGCAGTCTGGGATGCCCTCTGTACACTAGGATGGTTCTGGACTTAGCACAGTGGATGCCTTGTTGGCAGACAGTGCACTAATTAAAAAATAAAAGAAATAGGGGCTTTGATGGGGGTCGAGAGGAGACAGGATGTGTAGCTGGCTTTCACAGCCTGACAGTCAAAGCTCAGCTTAAATCTTGACTTCTCCAAGAAGCCCGGCATGGCTTCTCGGAGCCTCAGTTTTCTCATCTGTAATATGGGGATAATAATATCATGTCCTGGGGTTGTTAAAACCGAAATGATTGCGGGTACATAAACCACTTAACCCAGTGCCACTCAACAAATAGTAATAAATTATCATTAGCTTTCCTGCCTTCTTCATTCCCTCTTGAATTCCTCCCTTTTGTAAAAAAAAAGGTTTTCTAGATCAAGAGATGGGTTTCAAGGGTCCTGGGAACCCCCTGAAATGGTCTGCAAATTTTAGTGTGTAAATTTGTACATGAATGTTCGTAGCAGCATTATTCAAAAAAATAGAAAAGTGGAAACAACCCAAACATGCATCAACTGATGAATTAACAAAATGTGCTACATCCATATAATGGAATATTCCTCAGGAATGTCATTAATAAAAATAAATGGAGTCCTGATACATTTTACAAAACAAATGAACCTTGAAAACATTAGGTTAAATGAAAGCATCCTATGTAAAGGTGTCCGGACTAGGAAAATCCACAGAAACAGAAAGAAGATCAGCAGTTGCCAGGGGCTGGGGATAGAGGAGAATGGGGAATGATCCCCAAAGGGTAAGCAGCTTTTTTTCTGGAGCAATGCAAATGTTCTGGAATTAGATACCGACGATAGTTGCACAACCTTGTGAATATACTGAAGACCACTGAATAGTACATTCTAAAGTGGTGCATTTCATGGCATGTGAATTATATCTCAATAAAAAACAATTTAGTGTGTATGTACGGACATGTATTTCTTCTGGGGAGAGTTATAGCTTTTAGCGGTTCTCTAAGGACCCTGCAACCTCAAGGAAATGAACTGCCCAGGATGCTCCGTAAGGCCCCACACAGCTTTGTTTTGCTCTCTGCTTCGACAGCCTTCTCACTGCAATGCTGCCTGGGTGAGTGCGGAGCGAGGCAGCTCATCAATTCCCGAGCGCTCGTCTTGTCTCCTAACCACATTCCGGGCACGCCTCCGCTGTGTTATTTTTCATCATGGCGCCAGGCACCAGAAGGAAGCCAGTGCACACTGCTGGCCACACAGCTCTGGACGTGGCATCCTCTGGCAGGAGGCCCATGCCATGGCCACCTCACCCCATCCCCCCGGAAGGCCTCTAGGTGTTTCAATGCCTAATTCAAGTGTGACTTCCCCCAAGACAACTTCCAGAAAGTAACATCTCCCTCCCCACCACGGCCAAAGCACGTGTGTGCTCCTTTCTTGTGTGTGGCGCCAGTCTCGGCCAGCCTTGCAGAGTAATCATCCCACAATGGGAAAGAACTCGAGGGCACAGAAACGTCTCCATGTCTATGGCAATGCCCCCTGCCCCACTCTCCTCCACACCCAGCACCTACAACAGTTTAATAATAATTTTATGGTTAAATTGGCTCCCTGAGCTGCCGAGGAGACAAAATGGAATGAAATCCCAGGACCTGCTCACACCCATTGCTGAGAGGAGGCCCAGGTCACGTGGATCGGCCCAGTGGTGACACCATGAAAGGGTGTCATGACACCACCACTCCCACGGCCCTGCCCAGGAGCCGGTGAGATGCAGAGTCCCAGTGGGGCTGGGGAGCAGGGGAGAGGGAGGGTGCACACAGCCTTGACGTGGAAGGGACATAGGAAAGCCAGGGACTGTTCATGCTCCCAAACTAGAACACGATGGTTTGGGCCAAAGGGGGCAGAAGGAAAGAGAGGAGGAGAAGGAGGCAGACAGGGAGAGGGAAGAGAAAAGGATGAGGCTGTTGAGGGACCCTCAGGCCATGCCCTCTCTCAACCCTGTCCTTAACAACCTGTCACTCCTTCTGCACACCTGTGAGCTCACCCCTGGGTCTAGTCCCACCTGGAAGGGAGGCACAAAAGCAGGCAGGGGGCAACTGATCTGTGTTGAGAACTGCCCTTTCTTCTTCTCTGAGCCTTCCAGCAGCTTCCAGTGCTCTCCATACACCCCAACTTTGCTCAACTGTCACCTCCTCGGGGAGGCCCTCCTTGACCGCCCTGTATAAAGTAGCACCCCAGCTGCCCCCGACTTGCCACACCTGTGTCCTACTTCTTCATTGCACGTGTCACTACCTGACATTTGATTCTGCATTTATTTACAGTCCTTCCTTGGTCTTTGCAGAGGACTGGGTCCAGGACCCCCCAGACACCAAAATCCTCAGATGCTTATCTAAAATGGTGCCGTCTCTGCACATAACCTACGCACATCCTCCAGATGCTTAAAAGCACCTCTAGATTACTTACAATACCTAATACAATTTAAATGCTAGGTAAATAGTTGTTATATTGTAGTTTTAAATTTGTATTACTTTTTAAATTTTTTCCTAATATTTTCAATCTGTGGTTGGTTGCCCCCAAGGCTGTGGAACTCTGGGATGGGAGGGCCCACTGTATTTGTCTTTTGTCTGTTCCCTCCCTTCACACCGCCCAGCTCCTGCTAGCTCCTTCCAAGGTGAGTAGCTCCCTCCCCAACCCAGAAAACACTTCTACCTCTGACTTCACTAACTGCAATTCCCTCTGGCATGAATGATCTTTAAGCCTAACCCTTGCAGGGGCACTTGTATCTGACAGGACAGTTTGATGAGGTGGCATTAGGAGACTCTGGGAGGGAAGGGACCTCTTTTTGTCCACTTACTGACTGGAACCCTCACCCAGGAGAGAACTAGCTGAATCCATGGCTGGAAGGTCCAATGCAAACAACGGGGGACCAGGTTAACAAGAATCCCACCCTCCTACTGACCCAGCTAAAATGTCAGGTGAGACCGTTCCCAGAGGCCATAAATGGGAGGTAGGTAATGCAATTGCTTGTAGGGCCCTGTCTGTATGCCATGGCAATAGCGTGAACCCGAGGAAGCCCGCCAGGCTGTAAATCTGTCAGCCTGGCCTTTCCTGATCAATGGGCCCCCCTGGTTGCTAAGAGGCGCACCAAATGCTGACGCTGCCATCTCAGCCTTGAAAGTCAGAGAGATGTCAATTGCACAGCAAAATCCGTTCCCAGAAGAAACGTGGCATAAACACTTTTGATTAAATCGGGGATGTGGGGGGAAGATTCCATCTTCCCCTGACTCACCCTTCTCTGCAAACAGACAGTGTCCACCTCCAGGCCTTGTGGTCCATTGGTGATAGCAGGGAGCTCTGGGCAATTCTGACCAGGCTCCTAGGAGTGCGTTTGGTGTGTTGGGAAAATGTCAGAAAGGGAGGTAAGAGAACAGAAAGCTGGGGCTGTGGTCAAGTCTTGTTTATGAGGATGTAAAAGTCTTTGAAAAGTCCAGTGGGGCGTGCTCGGTCAGCACCGACACCCACAGAGTGGGCGGAGGAGGCAGCAGCCATCGCTAAGGCATGAAAAAAGGAATCCTGGCATTACAGAAGAGGAGCCCTGCCAGACAGTCTTCTCTAAATACTAGGCCTCCTTTAGAAACTGCAAGCAGATTGCAACTCTCCCAAGCTCCATCTGTGCCAGCTCTCGAGCCCCACACTCCAGTGACAGCCAGGGGCACCCTCGCACCCACTTCTCTTTCTCACCCCAGGACTGTCATGCCGGGCCTCACTCCTTCCTCTCTCTCGATGGAGTCTCTATAAGTGCCCCCCCCACCTCTCTCTCCTTTGCTGGCTCTTTTGATGGCTGGAGCCTGGGCCCTGTTGGTCTCACCTGCCTATTTTCCCAGGAAAGGAGCACATGAGGCTTGTGGGGACCTGAGTCTCTGCCTTGGCATAAACAGGTGGGGAGGGCAGCAGAAAGTCTGTGCGCCCATAGGTTGTCCCCTACAGCAAACACACCAATGGAACGAGGTAGGAATGTCCCTCTCCTTGCTCAGCCTGTCTCACTTTTCTGAGTTAGGTCCCAGCATGGATATATTCTCTCTTTTAATTCTTTTCTCTGGGAACTTCACTTTTGTCAGCCATTTTTTGTCCCCAAGAAAAGCTTCAAAAGTTCTTCCTCCTGTACTCTTACAAAGCCCAAGAGACTTGGCCCAACCAAATGCCATGTGTGAACTGTGTTTGGATCCTGAATTGAACAAACCAGCTGTAACAGGACACCCCTGAGAACAGTGGGGACACGTGAGTACGGAACAGGTATGCGGATGAGATGAAGTAATTATTGCTGATGTTGTCAGGTGCGATAATGGCAGAGTGGTTATATTACAAAGAAAGTCCTGGCTGGGTATGGTGGCTAATGCCTGCAATCCCAGCACTCTGGGAGGCTGAGACAGGAGGATCACTTGAGGCCAGGAGCTTGAGACCAGCCTGGACAACATAGAGATACCTTGTCTCTGCAAAAAATAAAAAATTAGCCAGGCGTGGTGGCATGCACCTGCAGTCCCAGCTACTGAAGCAGGAGGATCTCTTGAGCCCAGGCTTGAGCTACGATCACACCACTGCACTCCAGCCCAGGTGACACAGTGAGACCCTGTCTCTAAAAAAAGAAAGTCCTTACCAGAGATTCATGCTGAAGAATGTAAGAGTTAAATAAATCAGAAGTTTGCTTTAAAATACTCC